TATTATGGTTAGCACTATTTTCCATCCAGCAAACTGACCTGACGTCATTTTCGGAAGATAGAAGAGGTGTTAAATGGCTATGTAACTAACCCAAACCCTACCCCTACTTTAACCCCTAACCGCAACTCTAACTCTAACCCTAACCGAATTAAGAAAAAAAACGACTTTAGAAAATCGATAGGGCGGTTTGCTGGATGGAAAAAAGTGCTAACCTTCTATTACACAGACCTAACACAGTTAGGTATATTAAGAATTTAGAGGTTACATGTGCTTTTGTGTAAGATTGCTAATTTTAGAGATGACGGTGCATGAAATAATAATTTTCTTGTTATGATTTTGTAGAAAGAGATTTACTTGAGTTGTTGGCTGGTCATGAGCCTGGTCAGGAAGGATATGATAATGAAAGAGGTGATAGGGTAGAAAGTGATGACAAGTTAAGTGATGAGGAGGAAGAAATCAACCAGGCTGTACCATTCAAGTGCATCTGTGGGAAAAGGCATACCTCACTCTTCATGAACAAGATAAACCAGTGAATGTAAGAATACGGCCAGAGCCATTGAATCCAAGGGACCCAAGTGCAATAGCAATTGATCTAGACTATGGAACTGGATGGCCCCATGTTGGTTATATATTGCTTCTGAACTATGCAAGTATCCGCACCCATTAATTGCTGCAAGAGATGTCGTGGATGTCTAATATGTTCAGCATATCAAGTATAGGATTGACTTTTTTAAAATAGGATTTTATCCAAAACATTTTGCAGAGACATGGTTAGTGCATGGGAGAAGCATGAGTGTATGTTGACAGATGTTTTTTATATAAATAATAGCAACTAACTATGTTTAGCAAGTTATTGAAGTGCATTTATTTCAATTGGCTAACTTTTTAGATTTTTTCCAGCTTTTTTTAAACAAACCATGGGTTATAAATGATAACTTTCTATATCTAATTAAAACAATCTGTCATGTACACTCATGCAAAATAAGTACATAACTGTAAAAATGTGCTTTAGTAAATAAATGAGTAATTTATCCATGCACTTGACCTACTTTGTTTGTAATTTTTTCAGATTAAAATTAATGCAACAATAAAACAAGAAGATGTCCATTTATATAATTGCACAGGTCAATTCTTGGAGTAACCATCCCCCCGGGACACCCCTGGGAATTTGCCTAATAGACAGTTCACAGGGGTTGGGAATTTACCTGTCATATATACGTGCACAGGGGCCGGGTACGTGTACAGGGGCCGGGTATTGGGCCCGGGGATTTGACAAATGGTTTCACTTTTGCAAAACTTATTACCTGTGCCATGCGAATAAAGTTTTATAATATTCCATAGCAGCTTAATAGTATAATGTTATTAAATGACTATGCCTATGATATGCATTCATCGTCCCCGGGGTGGGGCATTTTCCACTCTCAGCTTGCCCAAGGGCCGTGCATTAGTCTCTTACTCCTAGTTGTGTCCCGGCACACTTCTTCTATTAACTGTGCACTATTGTAACCAGTCAAATCAAACGCCCAGGTGTGTTCCCGGAGGGGGGGGGGGGTGTGATGGTTACTCCTGGAATTGACTTGTGCATAATATTTATTAAATTTCAATAAATTGACCACAATACAATAAAAATACAATAAAAACTTGTTTTATTGTTTTAAAACACGTGGAGCTCTCTGCTGGTTTGAAATGGGCTGTTATAACACTGAGTTGTCCATGATGAGGATTCCGTAGCTCGATTTGCAACAAAAACCCCAGGATCTGGCGATCAGCTCGTATGGGAATATGCACACGATCCAGTCGCGTCGGCCAAAGACAGAAAAAACTTTGAAAATCGCACAGATATAAATTCTACAAAAATATTGAAACAACTCCTAAGTCTTCTAAATAATATTTTAACACTTTAACAAAAATTCATTGAAAATATAATCTTTGATGGCGCAAATTCTTTCCAAGGTATTAGACGCCATTTTAGTGAGCGTCGAGTTGACAATAGTCGCTTCAATGGCCAATATCTCGAAAACTGCCGGGGGATCAGCGGGATCATTCCAGCAGATTTAAAGCTTATATATTTTTCTTGATGGCTGCCAAAAATGAGGAAAATCGAACCATGGGAATTCTAGATATTTCATTTGAAACATTGTAAACATATTTAGACTTGAGTCAACACGTCGCGGGGAGTCTCTCTCCTCCGCAGAGGCACAGAATAAGGTACACAGAAGGCCGACTTCTTCGTTTTTCCTATGATTTTCCTATGATTTTGGCGTAACTCGTGATTCGCCATCAAATGCTGACGCCATGGTCCTAGCCAGTGCGCGACTGAGAGGCATTCACCCCCCTGATATCATTCAAAATGGCGGATGTCCAGGGGGGGAATGCCTCTCAAACCCGCACTGGCTAGGACCATGGCGTCAGCATTTTGATGATGAATCATGGCGTGGCAGCGTTACTCGAGTCGACCTTCTGTGTACCTTATTCTGTGGCAGAGGCTTTAGTTTTCTTAGGATTTTAAATATTACGATGAGAAACATTTCACTACACTTTACATGGCGGATCGTGGAACACGAGCGTAGCCGCTGGTGGAAGGAGCGCAGGCGGCAAAGGGAAAGGCGAAGGAAGGCGCGAAGCCTCTGCACGATTTGCATCGCAAAGTGGGACAAAGTGTAAACATCGAAACAAAAGGTGATTTTTAAGCTAAACAAGAAACGTCTTTTTGAAAATTAAATCATTATTTAATGCATGATTGATTGACCTCATTGACTAGTGCTTGCATGTTTGTGGATGGTCAAAAGTAATATTTTTAACATTTAATACACAAAGCAAACAATCGTATATTTTACTCACCGCTTGGCCAAACATTCTGTATTTCGTATCGAGAAAAACTTGAATATTTCTTGAACTCTTCGGAATTCGCCACCAGTCAAAGAAGTAAAATACTCCTTGTATTCAAGCGCTTTCGTGTGGAAAATTTCTTTTGAATACGGCCAGTAGAAATATTTATTTTTAATTTTTCAAAATATCGGGTTTTTACTCGCACAGTCGCACGCGCCTGTCACGCTGATGTTCGGGAATTAGTTCACAATCAGACCAGGAATGGAAATACCATAATAAAAGATGAAGTTTTCAAGATACAAGCTCAAAAATAACACTTTAAGTAGTGTTTTGAATTCGCTTTCGAACAAGAGTAATACAAAGAGGATGCATCCCAAGGAGCCGAAGTTATGTTCGCCGAAAGGTATGCTTAGTTTATATTTTTATCAAGTATATAAAACATTGCGTGATTTGATATTAATATACAAAATCCCGCTTGACTTTCACAGGTCATAAATCGCTATAGTGTTGACATTTCACTAAAACTATCGATAGAAACTAGGAGATATTTTTGTACTGAATCGAACGGTGGTATTTTCATCTACATAGCGTATATTGAACCAAAGATACGAACCTCCAAATAAATCAGGTCGAAACCGACTGAAGGTCGCGTTTGTTTATAAATATTGCTGAAGTTGAAATAGTTGAATTGTATTTTCAGTCTTGATAATAAATTTAATTAATAATGGTTCTGTATGCTATACATACTCATTTTTTTTCTTTTATGCGGTTTTGGACACATTTCTAAAAATACAAATGTCAAATATAAATTTAAATAAAAGTTTTCTCAGTCATTTTGAATTTGACTTGAATTTTGCGTTTGATAATTATACGCCCCCCGGTTTACCGCCATATTGGGTGTGGAATCGTGCAGAGGCTTCGCGCCTTCATAGCCAATTATAAAGCCTCTGCGGAGGAGAGAGGCGGGGAGTCGTCTAACTTCAAACATCAAAATAACATTGAAAATAACGTTTACCTTAGAGATTTTTGCAGATATCACCAGATCTTTAGCAGTAGTACTATTACATTTGAAATTTTGCAAGAAAATTTTAATATTAATGTTTTTTCTCTATTTATTTTCCGTCGAATACAAATTTTTCTGCTCAAATTCTGCAGAAAACACGATGGAAAATAGAGCGATTTCATTGGTCGAGAGCTCACGTGACAACTCGCTAATTGCTTGTCCGACCTCCTCTGTATTCTACTATATTTGTTCAGAGGAGGTACGACAAGCAATTAGCGAGTTGTCACGTGAGCTCTCGACCAATGAGATCGCTCTATTTTCCATCGTGCTATCTGCATAATTTGGACAGAAAAATTTGCATTCGACGGAAAATAAATCGAAAAAAAATATTAATATTAAAATTTTCTTGCAAAATTTCAAGTTTAGTAGTACTATTAGAGGTAAACGTTATTTTCAATGTTATTTCGACTCCCCGCGACGTGTTGACTCGAGTCTAAATATGTTTACAATGTTTAAAATGAAATATCTAGAATTCCCATGGTTCGATTTTTTTCATTTTTGGTAGTCGTCAAGACAAAAGTATAATCTTTAAATCTGCTGGAATGATCCCGGTGATCCCCCGGCAGTTTTCGAGATATTGACCATTGAAGTGACTATTGTCAACTCGACGTTCGCTAAAATGGCGTCTAATACCTTGGAAACAAAATGCGCCATCAAAGATGATATTTTCAATGAATTTTTGTTAAAGTGTTAAAATATTATTTAGAAGACTTAGGAGTTGTTTTAATATTTTTTTAGAATTTATATCTGTGCGATTTTCACAGTTTTGTTGTCTTTGGCCGACGCGACTGGATCGTGTACGTATTTCAAGACGAGCTGATCTCCTGATACTGGGGTTTTTGTGGCAAATCGAGCTGCGGAATCCTCAGCATGGACAATCCAGGACAAATCAGTGTCATAACAGTCCATTTCAAACCAGCAGAGAGCTTCACTTGTTTTAAAACAATAAACAAGTTTTTATGTATCATATAACAAATTAAGTGGCATGTTATTATATTGTGGGATCTTTTTCTGAGCTGAAGTGGGATCTCTGATCAATTTAATAAATATTATATAAATAGACATCTTCTTGTTTTATTGTTGCATTAATTTTAATCTGAAAAAATACTCACAAAGTAGGTCAAGTGTATGAATTAATTTTTCATAAGTTTATTTACTAAAGTACATTTTTTACAGTTATTTATGTACATACTTGGTCTTATTTGCATGAGTGTACATGACAGATTGTTTTACTTAGATATACCCAGTTATCATTCATAACCTATGATTTGTTTAAAAAATGCTGGAAAAACTAAAAAAGTTAGCCAATTGAAATAAATGCACTAATAACTTGCTAAACATACCTATGGTAGTTGCTATTTATTATATAAAAAACATATGTCAACATACACTCATGCTTTTTCCTACTACTCGAGTCTCCACTCACCAGGTGTCTTTATGAAAATTTTTGGATAAAATCCTATTTTAAAAAAGTCAACCCTATACTTGATACACAGAACATAGACATCCAGGACATCTCCTGCAGCAATTAGTGGGTGCAAATACTTGCATAGTTCAGAAGCAATATAAACAACATGTGTCCATACAGTTCCATAGTCTAGATCAATAGGCAATTCCAGCTTTTAATTTATGCATGCAGGGGGTGACGGGAAGTAAGGTATCATATTCCTGATTATGCTGAAAATTTTTAATAAACTGCCTAAACAACCAAAATATTTCAATATTTACAATAGCTATCACTCCATGTTTACATGGCTACCATTTCTATTTTTCAGCATTATCAGCAATATGATACCATCACCCCCTGCACACATAATCTAAAAGCTGGAATTGGCTATTGCACTTGGGTCCCTTGGATTCAATGGTGCTGGCCGTATTCTTACATTGAATTCACTGTTTTATCTTGTTCATGAAGAGCGAGGTATTATGCCTTAATTTTCCAAATGATGTCAGTAGTTTTTCTCATGAGCAGCACCGATGCACTTGAATGGTACAGAGTGGGCGATTTCTTCCTCCCCATCACTTTCGTCTTCATCACTTAACTTGTCATCTCTTTATGCCCTATCACCTTGATCACCTCTTTCATTATCATATACATCTTGAACAGGTTCAAGACCAGCCAACCACTCAAGTAAATCTCTTTCTACAAAATCATAACAAGGAAATTATTATGTATCAAAGATACATTGTCATCTCTAAAATTAGCAAAAAATATACAAACAGCAATATTTAGATGAAAATTTAAAAAAAAATATTAAATTACAGTTTCCACATTTAAACAACCACCCACAACTAGATGCAAACAGGCATCACACTCAGCAAAAATTTATAAAACCATACAAAAACTGAATAACAATATACCTTCAGACTCATCTGAGAACCAATGTTCATCATCTGAATGTTCATCATCAATACTATTCGCTGTCAATATATGATCCACATCGAAATCGAAAAGCATATGCTGGGTGTTTTCGTTAGCAAACTCATCAGGAGAAGGGGCAAACTAAAGGGTTAAATTATTAGAAATATTACGCCATAATTTGTACAGTGTATTTATAAAATTACAGTACAATTATATTGAAAACAGCAAAGCGGAAATTTGACCAAATAACAAGTCAACTGTATTAAATGCATTGTAATATACTAACCTTAAATACTGCTCTTGCAGTTTTCACGTTGATGATACACAGAGATTTAACGCCATCCAACTTAGAAAGAAGGGCCTCGCAAATTGGGAATATAAACACAATTCCTTCGCTTTGACAGACGGATTATTTATAAAGCTAAAATGACAGCACGTCCCATGCAATTTAATATAAGGTAAACTTGGTATAGTAAAACACAAGTCATAATGACGATCGCAACAATACAGCAATAGCATGCTATTTTCACGAAGTTTTGCAGCCTGACAATCTTGTATTTCGAATGCTTCCATATTTGTTTACTCAGAGAGATGTTCACTCCACGACAGTCAAAGAGTCATTAAAGCCACGCCTGGAATTAGGCGCTCGAACCCATGATGCTTTGCGGCCTGCTTGTCGAACCTCCTCTGATATTTGTTGATTATCATTTAGATTAGTTATAAGCGCGCGCATCAAGATTTTATTGGCATGCAACATGTACGCACTGCGTACCTATTTTTATCATGGTGGTGTTCAGGGTATGACAGGCGAGAAGATAAAACAGAACCGAACAAATTAAAAGATAGCCCGCGTGCAGGCCCAAGGGAACTGATAGTGGGCCTGCAAGCAAGGCCCGGTATTTTGTAAAACGCCCCTTTTCATAACACGCCCCATTCGCGCGTCAATTGTCAAAAAAGAACCAATGACAGCAACCAAATATTAACAAACAAACTCGCATTACAGTCAAACCGGATGTTCTCTTGCGAGCAATATTGCAATATTGTCCCACAATTTTGCAATTTTGACGGGCAGATTGCTCTGAGCAATTTGCAACCGACGCGAACAAATTGCAATTTGAAATTCACAAAAGATTTGTAAACAAAGCCTCTGATTGGACTATAAGAAAGGGGGAAAGCACCAATCCAGTTGCTCAGACCATTTGATTGGCTTCCCTCTTTCTTATAATCCAATCAGAGGCTTTGTAAGCATTTCTAAGTACATTAATTCCTGTTAGGAAATTGCCGTAAGAGAGTCAGTTAATTCTTTATCCGCATCTCGTATTTCTAATACCGAAGCCCCATATACTAGATTATTCAGCCATGGTCTTGCAATTGCTTGTCTAAATATAAATAGTTTGTTAGCTCACATTGATGATTTAAGAATCTTTATGGACAATAGTAAAATCGATATATTATGTATAAATGAAACTAAGTTAGATTCGTCCATCGGCAACAGTGAAATCCATCTTTCAGGCTATGATGTTGTTAGGCTAGACCGTAAGGTTAATGGTAGAAATGGTGGTGGTGTTTGTATGTATATACGAAGTAATCTAAACTTTCGAATTCGTGAAGATCTGGCATGTAATGATCTTGAAATCCTAATAATCGAAATTTCTAATCCTCGTTCAAAGCCGTTTTTGGTGGGTACTTGGTATAGACCTCCAAGCTCGTCCCAACAATTATTTACTTCATTCGAGGAGATTATCGATAAGATAGATGCTGAGAATTCCGAACTGTATTTACTTGGAGATTTGAATTGTAACCTATTGTCAAACACACCAAATTCCAACACGTCTGAGCTTTTGAATATATTTGATATTTACAATCTTTCACAGACAATTTCTGAACCTACAAGAATAACTAATACCTCACAAACATTAATCGATCTATGTATTACCAATAATCTTGATAAAGTAAAAGCTTCCGGTGTTCTTTCTCTTGGTATAAGTGATCATTCTCTGGTATACCTTATTCGGAAATGTACATATCATAAGGCACCGGTAAATACTTTTGTTGAAAAGAGAAATTTCAGAAACTTCAATGAACATGCATATTTGAATGATTTAAATAATCTAAATTGGGAGCAGGTTTGTCTGCATAACGACCCTAATGATATGTGGACTGAATGGTTGAATTTGTTTATGTCTGTGATTGATAAACATGCCCCACTTAAAAAGAAACGTATAGGGAAACGAAAGTCTCCCTGGATTACTTCACATGTAGTTCAGAAAATTCGCGAAAGAGATTATCTAAAAAGGCAATTCGATATTACAGGTGACGATGAAATTTGGTTACAATATAAGAAAGCTCGAAATGAAACTAACAACACTATTAGGCAGGCTAAACATAACTACTTTATCACTAATATTGAGGCTGCACGAAAAGATCCAAGGAAAACTTGGAGACTAGTCAACGATCTGAACTCTCGTAAAGTGAGTGATGTAACCAGTGTCAAGAAAGTCAATCTTGACGGTAATGAAATCACTAATGCGGCTGAAATTTCGGATGCCTTTAATTCATATTTCACCTCGATAGGAGAGAAACTTGCGAACAAAATACCTAGCTCGAATGTTAATCCCGTTTCTTATATTCAATCCACACATAGTGTTTTTTCTTTCGAGGAAATTGGTTTGTCCACTGTAAATTGTTTGCTAAAAACGATTAATGCTAACAAAGCGACCGGCCCTGATAAAATCCCAGGTAGATTATTGAAAATAGCCGCTGATATTCTTTCCCCCTCGTTAACCAGAATTTTTAATAGATCGCTTTCTATGGGGATTTATCCGACTGATTGGAAAATGGCAAAAGTCTTACCGTTATTCAAAAATGGCGAAAAATGTGATCTAAGTAATTATCGTCCAATTTCAATTATATCGGCGGTTGCCAAAGTTTTTGGTAGAACCGTTTATGACCAATTTTACTCCTATCTGACAAGTAACAACTTACTGTCGAACTATCAGTCAGGGTTTCGAGCATCATATAGTACCGTTACAGCTTTATTAGAGTCGAGTAATAACTGGTGCGTAAATATTGATAAGGGTTTGCTTAACGGAGTGATCTTCATTGACCTAAAGAAAGCTTTCGATACAATTGATCACGAAATTCTTATACGTAAACTCAAGTGTTATGGTGTGGATGACAATGCGCTATCATGGTTTAATTCCTATTTAAACAATCGAAAACAGAAATGCTACGTAAATGGCAAACTCTCTGGTAGTCGTTCTATCTCCCATGGAGTTCCGCAAGGCTCTATTATAGGCCCACTTCTGTTTTTGATCTATATCAATGACTTGCCTAACTGCTTGAACGAGGGTTTACCTAGAATGTATGCTGATGATACGAACATCAGCATGCAAAGTAATAATCTTTCTGAGCTAGAAAATCTTATGAATGCTGAAATAGCCAATTTAAACACATGGCTAGAGGCAAATAAGTTAAGTTTAAATATTGCCAAGACTGAATTTATGATTATTGGATCTCGTCAAAGACTTTCAACCTTTGATAATCAGAATGTGGAAGTATGTGTTAACAATAAACAGATTAATAGAGTGCTGAAGTCTAAGTCATTAGGTTTAACAATTGATGAGAACTTGACTTGGAAATATCATGTTGATAATATCACCAAAAAAGTCTCTTCGGGTATCGGTGCTCTCAAACGAATGAGAGATTTTATTACCACAGAAACTGCAATTCGAGTTTACCAAAGTTTGGTGGAGCCCTATTTTTCCTATTGTGCCCCTGTTTGGGATGGCCTAGGTAAAAAGCAAAGCGAAAAATTACAAAAATTACAGAATAGGGCCGCCCGTGTTATTACCCGTTCATCTTATGATATTTCATCAAGTTCTCTTCTTGAAGAACTTAATTGGGAATCATTGTCCACTAAGCGATTAAAGCAAAAGGCAATCCTCATGTTTAATACTATTAATAAACATACACCATTCTATTTACAAGAGATGTTTTCTCCCAGTGAGAGTGTTTATAACCTGAGAGATTCTTATGGTAAACTTTATGTCCCAAAACCACGCACAGATTATTTGAAACGCTCCTTCAGTTACAGTGGAGCCTCTTTATGGAATGGCCTGCCAGAATCTCTTAGATCAGTAACCTCTCTCGCTGCATTTAAGACAGGTTTAGAAGCCTTCTTAATAAATAATCGATCTGACTCCCACACGGCAATCAGGTAGAACAGTATCTATATTTCTTTTTGCTCCTTTTAAAATATTTTAATAGTTTTGTAAATAACTATACTGATGATTTTCCGTGTTTAAATAAAGTTGATGTATGTATGTATGTATGTATGTTTACAAATCTTTTGTGAATTTCCAACTTGCAATTTGTTCGTGTCGGTTGCAATTTGCTCAGAGCAATCTGCCTATCAAAATTGCAATATTGTGGGACAATATTGCAATGTTGCTCGCAAGAGAACATCCGGTTTGACTGTAAAATGTGCGGGGTTTTCTCTGCTTATTCAGAACATAAACAATGTGTAAATGGCAGCGTTTTAACTCCAAAAAGCAAGCAACGCAGTCAGTAATTGCCAAATTTGCAAGTGCTCATTTTCAACTAAAATCGGAACAGGCAAATTAGGACGAATTTCAACAGAAAACCAGTCTCAAACTTCAAATCGTGAGGGAAGTCGTGCGACTACATTAGCATTTATAATGTGTGCTTCGCTGTTGCCATTGTTATAAATAAATTGTCTCACTTATCAGATCATGTGTGCAATTCTTGTTGGCGGCGGAAAGTACGAAATTTATTTCAGTTATTTCATTTGGTAAAGAACTACAAAAGAAGAGAGCGTTCAGAGTCCAGATCGTTTCGTTTCAAACGGCAATTTAATACCGTCTTCTGTTTCGCTCTCTCAGCGAAGCCTTGTAAATCGCAAAGTGTTTCGAATAGGCTTAAATGCAACTGCATCTCAACATCAACCAAAAGATAATTTTCTTGAGGAACATATAACGTATCAAGTCTGTTTGAAATTAATGAAACTCAAGTAAAGGTTACTATAGTTTACCCCAGTCGTAATGAATGCTATTCCAACACGTCACGACAAGGAATCCCCATTGGCATAACGGCAAAAACATCTCTTCCTTCAAGTAAACAATAAACAGTCTGTTCTTGTTCCATTTATAACCGAAAAAAGTGATCAATTTTCGAATTTTAAGCTTATCGAGAGCCTTTGTGATGAATCACTTAGCTAATTATAGAATCTAACAGCAAACAGCCAATCAGAATGCCGCGTTCGTGGGCGAACGCGGAAAGTACAAAATACTGGGCCTTGCTTGCAGGCCCACTATCAAGTTCCCTTGAGCCTGCTCCCTTGGGCCTGCACGCGGGCTAATTAAAAGATGAATTCAAAGGTAAATTCTTGCATGTTGACGTTTTTCTCGAACAAGACATTGGCGTCCCTAACTTGACAGGAAATGCGAAACAAATTGACGGCGAGGATACGAAGATTTCAAAGATAGCTAGAAAAGGTAAATTCTGAAAATATGAGAATATTCGTAATTCATTTCAGAAGGAGCAACTGTCAACCACATTATTTATTTTTTAGGAACTGTGATGAAAACACTCGGAAGTGAGAGAATACAGAAGAGCCCAAAACTGCCCTCGCCGTCTGAGGTAAAAGTTCCAAGCAAAGAATCGACAACCATCTCCCATTCACGTGAGACAAAATGGCAAAACAATGACGGCAAAAATATATCTTCGTTGGAAAATCAAATTTTTCAACAGAATGACTTGAGAGAAACAGCCAAAAGAGAAAAGTTCGCTTCACTCACAACTCAACATCTTCGGAACAGACGTGAAATTGATGCGATCTCAGAAAGTCCTACCGAATGCTCCAATTTTACCTTTACTATAAAGTATGAAGATAACTACAGAGTATGGAACAACTTTTCAATGACGTATCAAAGCCGAATGTACCGTTATAACGAGTACAGAGTAACGGACGATGGTCTACAAGTTTGTAATTCTTCATACTCCCTCATCCAACAAAGATGGCAGAATTTCATTACTCGGGAAAAGAATATGACAGTTTTCACACATTGTAATGTATCGGTGGACGGTTTTTACTTTGGAAATTACATTATTCAAAAACTTTACTGTTTTCTTTTATCCTACTGAGCAGAGTTTCACAAGGCGAGATTACGGAGTGATGTTTGGACATTTTGCAATTTGTTCGGCGAAACTTAGTCTGTCCTGCAATGATGATTTGGTTAAAGTAAAGTACGATGAACAATACGTCTTACAACAACAAGATGTACGATTATCGTGAATATCGATTCAGAAACGAGGGTCTTGAAATGTGCGCTTCCAATGATTCAAAAGTCCAGGCTCTTTGGAAAACTCGGAATTCGTGGGAAAAGTTTAATGACCAGTATAAATGCCGCGGATTTGTTAAAAATATACATGCATGGGACTACGCTCTGACTAAGCAGTTCACTGTCTATTTGGCAGATAACGGTCAATATTTCACAAGAAATGACTATGCGGTTATACACGGAAAACCTAATGTATGCGAAGAAAAGTTACGACCCAGAATAAATGAGTATACCCAGGAAGATCTATTAATGTGCAACGATTCAATCATCAATATAAAATACGATGTTGAATACAAAGTTCGGACTGACTTTTCAATACTCTATAAGAACAAGGTCAACAAGGTGTACGATTACACTGAGTATCGAGTTCTGGATGATGGCATAAAGATTTGTAACTCCACTGACAACTACGTAAGGAATATTTGGAAACTACGTAATGCCTGGGTAAAGGAGAAAATGCATTACAAAAGCTGTAATAAACCCATGAGCATCTATAAGTTCCGCCAAAAGTTTTATACTGTTCGTAAGGATTTTAGCGTTCTCATGCTTTTGCCAACATATCAGGTGATAGCAAAGTACGATTATGGTGTGTTTGAAGGTAAACTTAGAATATGTGAAGAAAAATTCATAAAGTTTTCTCGCGTAAAAGACTATGGCGCAGCTGAAGTAGCCTGCGTGCAGGCCCAAGGGAACTTGATAGTGGGCCTGCAACCATCACCCCATGTTTTCGATTTTCGCCGGCCGAACCGCCGGCTAAATTCCCATTGGCTAGCTGAGGCGATCGGTAATTAATTAACCTAGCCCATTGTGCAGGCACAAGGGAACAGTGATTCATCACAAAGGCATAGACAAAGGCTCTCGATAAGCTTAAAATTTGAAAATTGATCACTTTTTTCGATTACAAATGGAACAAGAACAGACTGTTTATTGTTTACTTGAAGGAAGACATGTTTTGCCGTTATGCCAATGGGGATTGCTTGTCGTGAGGTGTTGGAATAGCAAATTACGACTGGGGTAAACTATAGTAACCTTTACTTGAGTTTCATTAATTTCAAACAGACTTCAGTTGATACGTTATGTGTTCTCACTTCCTCAAGAAAATTATCTTTTGGTTGATGTTGAGATGCAGTTGCATGTAAGAACTGTAAGCCTATTCGAAACACTTTGCGATTTACAAGGCTTCGCAGAGAGAGCGAAACAGAAGGCGGTATTAAATTGCCGTTTGAAACGAAACGATCTGGACTCGGAACGCTCTCTTCTTTTGTAGAGTTCTTTACCAAATGAAATAAATTTCGTACTTTCCGCCGCCAACAAGAATTGCACACACGATCTGATAAGTGAGACAATTTATTTATAACAATGCCAATGGCGACAGCGAAGCACACATAATATAAATCCTAATGTGGTCGCCCGACTTCCCTCATGATTTGAAGTTTGAGACTGGTTTTCTGTTGAAATTCGTCCTAATTTGCCTGTTCCGATTTTAGTTGAAAATGAGCACTTGCAAATTTGGCAATTACTGACTGCGTTGCTTGCTTTTTTGGAGTTAAAACGCAGCCATTTACACATTGTTTATTAGTGTTCTGAATAAGCAGAGAAAACCCCGCAACATTTTAATGCGAGTTTGTTTGTTAATATTTGGGTGCTGTCATTGGTTCTTTTTTGACAATTGACGCGCGAATGGGGCGTGTTATGAAAAGGGGCGTATTTCAAAATACCGGGCGATGGTTGCAGGCCCACTATCAAGTTCCCTTGGGCCTGCACGCAGGCTACAGCTGAAGTAGCAATATTATGCGCTGTAGCGCTTTCTATTATTTCTTTGCTATTGTTGTTGATAATTTATTGCATGCTTCCTGAACTGCGCACTCTTCCTGGTTTGAATTTAATGAGTTTTAGTTTCGCCTTTTTGTTGTTACACACTTACACTGCAGTATGTGTTGCGCTGTATCTACGTGTAGGTCAAGTGATTAAGATACCGTGTGACGGCAGGATAGAAATAACAGTGGGGTTTATTTTTTATAGCATACTTATGAATGCTGCCGCTAATATCTATCACTTAAGAAAAACCTTTTGTGGCAACACTCTTGTGAAATGCAATACTCTTGTGAAATCTGATGAAAACAAGTGGAAAACGTTCTTGAAGTATAGTCTCTTTAGCTGGGGTGTTCCTGTCATCATAACTATTGTTGGTATTGTGCTTGTGAAGAAAGATGTTTTAAGATTTCAAAGAGATAGTACTGGTTGTGTCAAGGGTAACGAACTTCCTCTTTGGTTAGCTGTTATGGCACAATATGGTCTTCTGGGTTGTCTTGTCTTGTACATCATTGTAATGTTCTCCCTCACTGCTTATCGAATTCGCCAAAAACTCAAAGCAATCAGGAACATTGCACAGAAATCAAATATTGTTAAGAAACGCAATAGTTTTGTCGTATTGCTTAAGTTGTCAACCACTACTGCCATAAGCTTCTTTCCTATTTTGTTTTTAAAGTTCATGGAAAAATTAGATGTTAAAATCAAACTAACGTTATTGACAGTAGCGTCTCTTACTGGTGTCTACATAGGTATTGCGTTTGTCGTCACTAGAAAAAATTACAGGTTGCTTAAGAAGAAGTATTTCCCAGCAAAAAAGAAACCAATTAACGCGTAGTTGTAAAAATTGTGGCTTTGTAGGTAAGTAAGCAAGCGAGCAAGTAAATAAATAAGTCAATAAGTAAATAAATATAAGTAAATAAATATAAGTAAATATAAGCAAGTATAGTAAATAAATATAAGCAAGTAAATAAATAAGTAAATAAGCAAGCAAGCACGTACTACTGAGTCACGATCTTTCTCATCAGTCACAAAATACAACATTTTAGAACTGAAAATACGCGGAGTGATTATAACTAGAGAATACTTATGATTTATATGTAGTTTACATACAGGTATAAACTATTATAAACTGATGCTTGTGATGTTACTCTGAGTGTATATCCACACCGGGCAGGCTTGAAAAATATGCCTGGCCATGGTGGGAATCGAACCTATGACCTTTGGAATACTAGCCCAATGCTCTGCCAACTGAGCTACGCGGTCAGATCGGTTCGAGTATGTGATATTTCGGAACTGAGTCTAGTTCCTTCGATATCAATGTAATCTAGTAATCATGATATTTTCTGTGGATTGGACTAGTATTCCAAAGGTCGTAGGTTTGATTCCCACCATGGCCAGGCATATTTTTCAAGATTGCCTGGTGTGGATATACACTCAGAGTAACATCACAAGCATCATATTCACCTGAGTACATTACACCAACACAGAAAATATCATCATTAAACTGGCCATTGAGAAAGATCGTGACTCTATTTTTACAACCATTTGCGATAAGCACGTTTCGAGTGTAGTTCACTATTAACAAATAGTATAGATACACAGTAAAACGTCATAATGTGGGAAGGACAAAAAAGTGGCTCACGAGACGCCGAGTCTGTAGAATAAAAAGAAAAACCCTGAATTAAACAGGTAAATAGCTTACTTTTTATCCACCCAAACATTTGGAAATTTGAAAAAGTCGAAATTTTACAAATATCACGCGTACATCATGATCTATACAAATAAAGGAATGCTATTGGATAAGGTTTTGTGTGACGTAATTCCGTACGTCTGTCCTCTAATAGATCATGGCTCTCGACCAATGAAAGCGCTTGAATTCTTAACGTTATTAATATAATAATATAGTTCCACTTTTAAAGTTTGTTTTAATGTTTTTTGCTGTATAGATAACGCTCGCGTAGACTTTCAAATGATTTGTTTTTATTCCTATCCTGAATTTGTTGTGGGAGGTTTTTTCCTTCAAAGTGCAAGTAATGTTTTCAATTTTTCGATTAGGACTATTCTACAATGAAGTGCTCTTGGATATTGTAATCTAAATACATATGAAGACGAAGAAGTGGCATTTATCGGGCAGAGAATCGGCGAGCCATTAAAATGGCGGCATATTGGACGAAATATCGAAGGACACAATATCGAAGATAAAATACACTGCACTGCTCCAAAACTTGCCGAAACTTGGTTGAAATCTTCTTTTGCCATTTGCCATTATGTAAAAGTACAACAACTGGATGTTATTTGCGAGACACGGCGATATAAAGGAAACACGACGGCAAAATATGGCTGAAATCGTGTTTTCGTGGGGGTAAGTGAAATAAAATATATTATATTTATAGAAAACAGTGACTACCCTTATGAAAACTACAATAATTATATTAAATTAAGCATAGTTTTTCATCCCATGGTAATATTTTTTAGGAAATAACGATATTTAATTTCCGCCATGTATATTAGTTATTTTCTGCATAATTAGCAATTTACCTGGGGGTGATGAATGATCATTTTCATGTAAAATATTATACTTATACAAATGTTTCCTTCCAATAACCACCCCCTAAAAGCAACCCTTCTAAACATTATAAGCACTTCAGAAAGGCTGTTGCTTTTGCTTTTCGGAAGTTACAGCTATGTCGGCACTGCCGTTTCAGGGCGGGTTCATTTTCAGGACTTTCGTCCCGGATTCAGGTTTTGGCACATATGCCATGTTGACCGCCATGGTCATTCTACCCCAAAACAGTTGAAATTACCTGTGGTAAATGAAACGCATACAAACTCATATACAGGTCCTAGACTACAGGTAAATAGCTTACTTTTTATCCACCCAAACATTTGGAAATTTGAAAAAGTCGAAATTTTACAAATATCACGCGTACATGATCTATACAAATAAAGGAATGCTATTGGATAAGGTTTTGTGTGACGTCATTCCGTGCGTCTGTCCTCTAATAGATCATGGCTCTCGACCAATGAAAGCGCTTGAATTCTTAACGTTACTATATAATAAGATAGTTCCACTTTTAAAGCCGTTATGTTTTTTGCTGTATAGATAACGCTCGCGTAGTCGCGAACAGCTGGATTCAGCTGCTAACATTATCACAAATCCCCTAATCATAATAAACGTTTTAAATTTGTGTTTTGCCGAAACTACACCCAGTTGCCTTACAACACTTGCAGTTGCAACATGGTTCGTGGGTTTAGTTTTCAACTCTTGTATCGAGTCGTTTTCTTTTCCTTCTGTCTGATTTTCGCCTGTTTTTATCATGGTGGTGGTTCAGAGTATGACAGGCGAGGAGGTAAAACAGAACCGAACAAATTAAAAGAAAACTTCAACAGCAAACCCTTGAATGATGAAGTTTTTCTCGAACAAGACATTGGCGTCCCTATCTTGACAGAAAATACTAAACAAATTGACGGCGATGACACGAAGAAAGAAACTGATCTTTCAAAGATGGCAAGAAAAGGTAAATTCTGAAAATGTGAGAATATTCGTAATTCATTTCAGAAGGAGTAAATGCATGTCAACCACATTTTTTATTTTTTTAGGAACTGTGACGAAAACACTCCGAAGTGATAGAATACGGAAGAGCCCGAAACTGTCCTCCAAGTCTGAGGTAAAAGTTGCAAGCAAAGAATCGACAACCATCTCCCTATCAAGGGAGACAAAATGGCAAAACAATGCCAGTAAAAACTTATCTTCATTGGAAAATCAAATTTTTCACCAGAATGACTTGAGAGAAACAGCCAAAAGAGAAACGTTTGCTTCACCCACAACTCAACATCTCCGGAACAGACGTGAAATTGATGCGATCTCAGAAAGTAAGGTGGGTCCGACCGAATGCGCCAATTTTACCTTTACTATAAAGTATGGAGATGAATACGGAGTATGGAACAACTTTTTAATGATGCACCAAAGCCGAATGTACCGTTATAACGAGTACAGAGTAACAGACGATGGTCTACAAGTTTGTAATTCTTCTGACCCCCTCATCCAACAAAAATGGCAGAATTTCATCGTTTCAGAAAAGAGAAAGATGGCTTCCCAACATTGCAATGCATTTGTGGACGGTTTCTACGTCAGAAACTACACATTATTAAAAAATTTTACTGTTTTCTTTCATCCTACTGAGCAGAGCTTCACAAGGCAAGATTACGGAGTGATGTTTGGACATTTTGCGATTTGTTCGGCAAAACTTAGTCTGTCCTGCAATGATGATTTGGTCAAAGTAAAGTACGATGAAAAATACAATGTTTTCAAAAACCTTTCGCTGTTTTACAGCAATACGATGTACGATTATCGCGAATATCGATTCAGTCACGACAGTCTTGAAATGTGTGTTTCCAATGATTCAAGAGTTCAAGCTCTTTGGAAAACTCGGAATTCATGGGAAAAGTTTAAAGAGGTGTATAAATGCTATCGTTATTATTACCTATTGTATTACAGTGTGACCAAGCAATTCACTGTCTATTCGGCATATAACAGTCAATATTTCACAAGAAAGGACTATGGAGTCATAGACGGTAAACCTAATATATGCGGAAAAAAGTTGAGACCCACATCAACAGAGTATACCCAGGAAGATCTACTAATATGCAACGATTCAATTATCAATATACCATACGATGATGAATACAAAGTTCGGACTGACTTTTCAATACTCTATAAGAACAAGGTGTACGATTATACTGAGTATCGAGTTCTGAATGATAGCATAAAGATTTGTAACTCCTCTGATAACGACGTAAGGAATATCTGGAAAGAACGCAATAAATATGTCAAGCAGTGGATGCATTACAAAAGTTGCAATCTACCAATAAACATATATATAATCTCCCAAGAGCTTTATACTGTTCGTAAGGACTTTAGTGTTCTCATTTTGCCAACAGATCAGGTGATAGCAAAGTATAATTATGGTGTTTTTGAAGGTAAATTTAGAATATGTAAAGAAAAATTCATAACATATTACGGATACTATGGCGCAGCTGGAGTAGCAGTATTATGTGCTTTAGCGCTTTCTATTATTTGTTTGCTATTGTTGTTGATAGTCTATTGCATGCTTCCTGAACTGCGCACTCTTCCTGGTTTGAATTTAATGAGTTTAAGTTTCGCCTTTTTGCTGGCGCTGACTAATTATGTGGTATTTTTGTCGCTGTATGCACGTGTGGGTAAAATGATTGTGAATAAAAAACCGTGTGCAAGGCTGTTCATATCAGGTAGGTTTAATACGTATAGCATACTTATGAACGCTGCTGTTAGTGTGTATCACTTAAGAAAAACCTTTTGTTGCAACACTTTAGTGAAATCTGATGAAAACAAGTGGAAAACGTTCTTGAAGTATAGTGTCTTTAGCTGGGGTGTTCCTCTCGTCATAACTATTGTTTATATTGTGCTTGTGAAGAAAGATGTTTTAAGATTTCATTCAGATAGTTGTGTCAATGATAGTGCTGATTGGGTAGTTGTTATGACAGAGTATGGTCTTCCGGGTTGTCTTTTGTTGTATATTATTGTAATGTTCATCTTCACTGCTTATCGAATTCGTCAAAAACTCAAAGCAAGCAGTAGCATTGCACAGAAATCAAATATTGTTAAGAAACGCAATAGCTTTGTCCTATTGCTTAAGTTGTCGACTACTGCAGCCATAGGATGGCTTCCTGTTGTACTTTTAGGTATAGATTTTCATCATAACATCAAGACGGCGCTATTTATTCTGATGCTTCTTAGTGGTGTCTACATAGGTATTGCGTTTGTCTTTACAAGAAAAAATTATCAGCTGCTAAAGAAGAAATATTTCCGAGCAAAAAATAAGCCAGTTAACGTGTAGTTGCAAACATTGTACATGCAGTTGCTTTGTAGGTAAGTACGCAAGCAAGTAAGTTAATAAATAATTAAATAACTAAAGAAGTAAAGAAAGCTTAACTGATTAATTTGAAATCTGTAATAATGTGTACACTTGTAAAAATTTTAACGTATTTTGTTCAATGTGAAAACGCTTAGAATACAGTGGTCTTCAACTTAAAATGTATGTACACATTGTGTTTTAGATCATTGTAGAAAAATATAGAGTGTAAATAAAAAAGCAAAACATCGTGTCTTTTTATAAAGTTTTCAGTGGAAATGGAATGTTTGAACAAGGTACCCTGACATTTTCTAATCCATATAATCTCACCATCGAGTAATTTCGATCCAGATGGTTTGTTGCGGGGGGGGGGGGCTTATCCATTTTTTAATGATATGCGGATTAGGGCTAACGATTATCTCTGGACTGCACACTATTACAACTTGAGTCAACTGCGAAAGAGGTACAAAAGAAACTTAACTCAGCAGCGAGTTCACGTTCATCAGACCACTTTAAGGTAGCCCACATTCAAGAACATTTACTACCTCTGCATGATCTAACAATGCTTAACTCAGCAGTGAGTTCTGTACAACATCAGAATCTACTACCTCTGCATGATCTAACCATGCTTAACTCAGTAGTGAGTTCTCTTACAACATCAGATCTACTACCTCTGCATGATCTAACCATGCTTAACTCAGTAGTGAGTTCTCTACAACATCAGATCACTTTAGGGTAGTCCACACTTTTCAAAACTAAAAAAGTTACTAAAAATGCACGGAAATGTTAAAGAGTTAGTCTTTACTTTTTTACATTTTTTACCACTTTTTCAAAAATGAGAAAAGTGGCTAAAAATGGACGAAAATTATACGCCCGAAAAAGTTTTTTTTAAAATTACAAATATTAAGAATATCAGTCTTACGACAGTTTTGTGGTGTATCAACTAATTCAATATCAGCAACGTCAACAGCTGAACATGCATAGCCAGCCAAATAACTTATAATTATATTTTGTACGCAGTTAAATATTGTATATAAGTACATTTTCAACACACGGCCCTTTGAAAAACAACTGTTACTTATAGCATGGATAATAAAATAAATGGATTGGAAACTTCTGACGTCATTGACTGCATCCTTGTTGAAAAACGTGACGTCACGCGTATTGCGAATGTTACCAAAGTTCTCGGCATATTTGTTGTTTTGCTATATTTTCCACTTTAAAAGGGTGGTCTTGAAGCGTAAACTGGTCTAATTGTTTTAAAAACATGCCTAAGCCACGACAAAGTATTCAAGGTAAATGTTTTTCGTCTTTGTTTTGTATTTTTTTACAATTGTAGCTACGAAATTGGCGTCACAAATTTTAACGAAATTTGCGATGTATTTTTCACTGTTTAGTGCTTGAAATATTTGCTAAAATTGACTGGGAATACTTAGAGTTTTCATCGTAGAATGGCGTGGTTACATTTATTTGCTCTTTGACTAAAATGTTTAGCTGTATTATTGCTAAACATACCGTTTTTGAGAATTTGATTTTCAACTAGGTTGAGGCATCCAACCACGCCATCAATCCCAGTAAAAACATTAGGTCACGTCAGCTAGTTTCCTATCCATTTATTTTATTATCCATGCATGCTTATAGTTGAATAGGTTACGGTGTAAATAAATATTTTTAAATAATAATAAAAAATAAGTCATCGTATATAGTTATAAAATGTGTGAGTTGCGATCGAATTAAGTTGCTTTGTTCACAACCTCGTGCCCAGGCTCTTACCTCTTGTGGAGGAAAGACCCACGTGATCTGATAAAATCTAGCAGATTTTTGATTGATGAAGTTGATTAATATTTGATATTTATACCTTAATTTAATACTTGCATTTTGATTTGCAAGTTTGATTTGACTTTAAAGGAATCCAAGATAGCTAATTAGAAATCCGCTAGATTTCAGCAGATCACGTGATCAGCTCCTACCATGCAGGGTCTTTCCTCCACAAGAGGTAAGAGCCTGGGCACGAGGTTGCTTTGTTCAGTTGTTGACGTTTCAGATATTGAATTAGTGACGGCGCCTAAATGTCAAAAACAACTATTGCTTGCAGGTATTATAGGAAGTATTACGCTCCCATCGTTATTTTATAAAACTATTCGTGACAATTGTCCGAAGTAGGTTGAAAAAGTTCATTGAAATATGAATATTTTAGCTCAATGAACAATTGTTGAACAAGACATATACTTGAACATACGGTAAAAGACTTGAATTATTTGACAGTTTTGTTGAGTAGCACTTGGTTGCCGACGACACAATATCGTCAGAACTATTGAAAGATGAGTAGAAATACCCACACCGTCCTATATTTGTTTTTGTTTTTCACTTCGCTCCGCGCGAACAAATTCGCCTAGTGGAAAATGGAGTCCTATATTTAAATATATTGTTCTATTTAGTCATGGTTAAATTTTCTAATACCATGCACATCGTCCTATATTTAAATATATTGTTCTATTTATTCATGGTTAAAATTTCTAATTCCCACACCGTCCTATATTTAAATATATTGCTCTATTTATTCACGGTTAAATTTTCTAATACCCACACCGTCCTATATTTAAATATATTGTTCTATTTATTCACGGTTAAATTTTCTAATACCCACACCGTCCTATATATAAATATATTGTTCTATTTATTCACGGTTAAGTTTTCTAATACTCACACCGTCTTATATTTAAATATATTGTTCTATTTATTCACGGTTAAGTTTTCTAATACTCACACCGTCTTATATTTAAATATATTGTTCTATTTATTCACGGTTAAATTTTCTAATACCCACACCGTCCTATATTTAAATATATTGTTCTATTTATTCACGGTTAAATTTTCTAATACGCACACCGTCCTATATTTAAATATATTGTTCTATTTATTCATGGTTAAATTTTCTAATACCCACACCGTCCTATATATAAATATATTGTTCTATTTATTCATGGTTAAATTTTCTAATACGCACACCGTCCTATATTTAAATATATTGTTCTATTTATTCACGGTTAAATTTTCTAATACGCACACCGTCCTATATTTAAATATATTGTTCTATTTATTCATGGTTAAATTTTATAATACGCACACCGTCCTATATTTAAATATATTCATTCATGGTTAAATTTTATAATACCCACACCGTCCTATATTTGGATTTGTTTTTCGCTCCGTGCGAACAAATTCGCCTAGTGGAAAATGGGCTTAAATTAACACTTGGTTGCCGACGACACAATATCATCAGCGCTATTGAAAGATGAGTAGAAATACCCGCACCGTCCTATATTGAAGGGACATCTGTTTCTGCTTAAAGTGGCTGGGAATATAAATGCTCACGTAATTTCTTATGAATTGCCAATAAACCTACATGGCTATTCGTGTGTGCGCAAACGGTGCGAATTCTTCTTTTTATCCAACTCTATCAATTTCATTTCATTCCATTTGTTGCCTGTTTGACGCCATTAGGCATTAATAACTTCAAGTGTTATGCATATTTATGTTTTGCTTGATTGACTTATATAAATGTTCACATTTTGCACATTGTACAATAAAATAGGAAATTCTGTAGTGTCAAAATAAAATTCTGTATTGCAAAAAAAATTAAAGAAAACGAAACCAAGTACACGAAGCATTATTATTTTCACCACTAAGTTTGTCACGCCTTACTTGCCATGACAACTGACTAAAGGCCATATTACACGGTGCAATTTTTCTTGCAATTTGCAAAGCAATTCTACTCTTGAGAGATGTTAATTAGTAAAGTCAGTGAAGAATAATCGATAATGTTGAGAAAACATCAGCGGAGTGTAATGAAGACTCGTATTTGGTAATTTACATCTCTCAAGAGTAGAACTGCATTGGAAGTTGCAAGAGAAATTGCAATTAATTTGGAAGACAAAACATTTCAATTTCTGTACATCTCATACATTTAAATATATGTACAACCCACTTCCCTCGTACAAGAACGTAAAAATAGAATATTTAACAATTCCAAACTACTACATATAGACCTGAAATTTCAAAATCTATTACGAGCCACCTTAATAACGTTTTGGGTGTATGATAATTAGTACGGCTAGTGACATCAAAAAACTCAAATTTGAAAACGTTTTTAAACTTTGTGTTTTGCCGAAATAATACACAGTTGCCTAACGACGCTTGCAGTTGCATCATGAGTCGTGGCTTTAGTTTTCGACTCTTCTATCGAGTCGTTTTCTTTTCCTTCTGTCTGATTTTCGCCTGTTTTTATCATGGTGGTGTTTCAGAGTATGAAAGGCGAGGAGATAAAACAGAACCGAACAAATTAAAAGATGAATTCAAAGGTAAATCCTTGAATATTGACGTTTCTCTCGAACAAGACATTGGCATCCGTAACTTGAAAGAGAATGCTAAACAAGTTGACGGCGAGGATACGAAGAAAGAAACTGATCTTTCAAAGATGGGAAGAAAAGGTAAATTCTGAAAATGTGAGAACATTTCTTAATTCATTTCAGAAGAAGTAACTGTCATGCAACCACATTATTTCTTTTCAGGAACTGTGATGAAAACACTCCGAAGTGACAGAATACGGAAGAGCCCAAAACTGCCCCAGTCCGAGGTAAAAGTTCCAAGCAAAGAATCGACAACCATCTCCCATTCAAGTGAGACAAAATGGCAAAACAATGGCGGCATGGCCATATCTTCATTGGAAAATGGAATTTTTCACCAGAATGACTTGAGAAGAACAGCCAAAAGAGAAAAGTTCGCTTCACCCACAACTCAACATCTCCGGAACAGACGTGGAATTGATGCGATCTCAGAAAGTAAGGTGGGTCAGACCGAATGCGCCAATTTTACCTTCACTATAAAGTATGAAGATGTATACAAAGTATGGAAGAACTTCTCAATGATGTATCAAAGTCGAATGTATCATTATAACGAGTACAGAGTAACGGACGATGGTCTACAAGTTTGTAATTCTTCAGATCCTCTCATTCAACAAAAATGGCGGAATTTCATTGCTCGGGAAAAGAAAATGACGGTTGTCACACATTGTAATGTATCCGTGGACGGTTTTTACTTTGAACATTACACATTATACAAAAACTTTACTGTTTTCTTTCATCCTACAGAGCAAAATTTCACAAGGCAAGATTACGGAGTGATTTCTGGACATTTTGCAATTTGTTCGGCAAAACTTAGTTTGTCCTGCAAGGATGATTTGGTTAAAGTAAAGTACGATGAACAATACAACGTTTTGAAAAACGTTTCGCTGTTTTATAACAACAAGATGTACGATTATCGTGAATATCGATTTGGAAACGGAGGTCTTGTAATGTATGCTTCCAATGATCCAAGGGTTCAGTCTCTTTGGAGAACTCGGAATTCATGGGAAAAGTTTAAAGAGCAGCATAAATGCCGCGGATCTGTTAAAAAAATACATGCATGGCGTTACATTGTGAATAAGCAGTTCACTGTCTATCTCGCACTTAAGAGTCAATATTTTACAAGGCATGACTATGGGGTGATTGACGGTAAACCTTATATATGCAGAGAAAAGAGAAGACCCATGTCAACAGGGTATACCGAGGAAGATCTATTAGTGTGCAACGATTCAATAACCAATATAAAATACGATGATGAATACAAAATTCGGACTGACTTTTCAATACTCTATAAGAACAAGGGGTACGATCATACTGAGTATCGAGTTCTGGATGATGGCTAACTGTAATGTAACTCCACTAACTGTAACTCCACTAATAACGACGCAAGGAATATTTGGAAACTACGTAATGACTGGGTAAAGTCGACAGTGCATCAAAAAAGTTGCAATAAATCCATTAGACCCATTTGGTTTAAAGGAAAGTATTACACTGTGAATAAGCTGTTCGCTGTCTATTTCGCACGTAGGAGTCAATATTTCACAAGAAATGACTATGGGATGATGATGATGATGATGATGATGATAGGTACACTTTTATATATATGCAAAGAAACGTTGAGACCCATATCAACAGAGTATACCCAGGAAGATCTATTAATGTGCAACGATTCAATCATCAATATAAAATACGATGATGAATCCAAAGTTCGGACTGACTTTTCAATACTCTATAAGAACATGGTGTACAATTATACTGAGTATCGAGTTCTGGATGATGGCATAAAGATTTGTAACTCCACTGATAACGACGCAAGGAATACTTGGAAACTACGTAATGACTGGGTAAAGGCGACAATGCATTACAAAAGTTGCAATAAACCCATTGCACCCTTTCGGTTGTATCAAAAGTATTACATTGTGAATAAGCAGTTCACTGTCTATTTCGCAGCCAGGAGTCAATATTTCACAAGAAATAGCTATGGGGTGAGAGACGGTAAACCTCAGGTATGCAATGAAAAGTTCAAACCCACATCATCAGAGTATACCCAGGAAGATCTATTAATGTGCAACGATTCAATGACCAATATAAAATACGATGATGAATACACAGTTCGGATTGACTTTTCAATACTCTATAAGAACAAGGTGTATGATTATACTGAGTATCGAGTTCTGAATGACGGTATAAAGATTTGTAACTCCACTGATAAGTACGTAAAGAATATTTGGAAACTGCGTAATGACTGGGTAAAGGCGACAATGCATCAAAAAAGTTGCAATCAACCCGTAGACGTCCATGCGATCTCCCAAGAGTTTTATACTGTTCGTATGGATTTTAGCGTTCTCATTTTGCCAACAGATCAGGTGATAGCAAAGTATGATTATGGTGTGTTTGAAGGTAAACTTAAAATATGTAAAGAAAAATTGATAATGTCGTATTACGTAAAATTGATAGGCCGCATTAAGCCAGCTGGAGTAGCAGTATTATGTGCTTTAGCGCTTTCTATGATTTGTTTGCTATTGTTGTTGATAGTTTATTGCATGCTTCCAGAACTGCGCACTCTTCCTGGTTTGAATTTAATGAGTTTAAGTTTCGCCGTTTTGTTGTTGCTGACTTACACTGCAGTATACCTTTCGCTGTATTCACGTGTAGGTCAAGTGTTAAAGATCCCTGCATGTGACAGGATAGAAATAACAAAGAGGTTTATTTTGTATAGCATAATTACGAACGCTGCTGCTAATGTCTATCACTTAAGAAAAACCTTTTGTGGCAACACTCTAGTGAAATCTGATGTGGAAAACAAGTGGAAAACATTCTTGAAGTATAGTGTCTTTAGCTGGGGTGTTCCTCTCATCATAACTATTGTTTATATTGTGCTTGATAAGACAGATGTTTTAAGATTTCATCATGCAGATAGTGCTGATTGTGTCAGTCGTCTTAATAATTCTGATTGGTTAGCTGTTATGGAAGAATATGGTCTTCCGGGTTGTCTTTTGTTGTACATTATTGTAATGTTCTCCTTCACTGCTTATCGAATTCGCCAAAAACTCAAAGCAAGCAGCAACATTGCACAGAAATCAAATATTGTTAAGAAACGCAATAGCTTTGTCCTATTGCTTAAGTAGTCAACCACTACAGCCATAAGCTTACTTCCTCTTTTATTTGGAAAATTGCGTTTTGATTATGACATAAAGATGGCGTTATTGACTGTAGCGTCTCTTACTGGTGTCTACATAGGTATTGCGTTTGTCTTCACCAGAAAAAATTACAGGTTGCTTAAGAAGAAGTATTTCCCAGCAAAAAAGAAACCAGTTAACGTGTAGTTGTAAAAGTTGTGGCTTTGCCGGTACGTAAGCAAGCAAGCAAGTAAATAAAAAATAAGTGAATAAGTGATAAATAAGCACGTAAATAAGCAAGCACGTAGTCATCAGTGGCGAGCAAGTGAATAAAAATAAGCAAGTAAATAAATAAATAAGAAAATAAGCAAGCATGCACGTATCAGTAAAAGAAAAAACATGAGTGTTTATAATATAGCATTTGTAAATTCTGAACGCTGATTGGCTAAGAGCCGTGTTGATATAACTCCATGTCAACACGGGAAATTTTCCGCCGCTTGTAAACACGGAAATTTTTCTTATTTTTCGGGCATTTGACATATTATAAAATGCTATATTATAAAACAAATATAAAACATTTTTTCTGTATTGATATATAGTTATATCAACCCGGAAAAAGTTTTATATTTGTTAAATATAGAATAAGTAATTAATCTAAACAGTAATCAATGAACATTTATAAAGATCCGATTAATTTAAAATCTGTAATCAGGCGGAAACTTGTAGAAATTTTAACGTCATATTCTATCCAATGTGAAAACGCTCGGAATATAATGTTATTAATTTAAAATGTATGTATATAGAATGTGTTTAAGATCTTTGTAGTATAATAAAGTGAATAAAAAGCAAAATATTGTGTGTTTTTTTTAATTTCGTGTGGCGGATGGGGTACAGGTAGTTGAATTTGTCGATTTCAGTGAGGTCTGACCATCCACCCCGGGGAAATCTCAACGTGGAGTAAATTCACGATCCACATCGATGGTTTGTTGCAGGGGGTGGGGACCTCGTCCATATTTGAGTTGTGATCGAATTAGGCTATTAGTCTTTCTCACGCCGCCATTTTTGGGTGGCTTTATTGAACTATAAATAAACTGGAAGGCTAACTGCTATGATGAAGGCCTATGATTTGATGAAGCCAAAATAGTTTTTCTGAGTTATGAGCAGAAATACTTGACCCCAAACGCCGGGCTGTATATCAAATTGAAGCTATTGAAAATTGCTATTCGGTGTGGAAATTTCAAGACTTCAGCGAAAAGAAAAATATTTAAAAAATACAAAAACAACTGCAAAACGGCAAATTATCGGTAATTATGTTTGTAGTTTTTCAATATTTCCCTTTTAGCTAAAGTCTTGAAATTTCTATACCAAATAGCGTTTTCAATAGCTTCAATTTGATATATAGCCCAACGTTCAGTGTTGAGTATTTCTGCTCATAACTCAGACCTCCTTTGTTCACAACCTCGTTCCCAGGCTCTTCCCTCTTGTGGTAGCCTGCGTAGCAGGCGTTTAGTGCATGCGGGCGGGAGAATGGAGGGCGTCGTCTTCTCCCGCCCGCACTAAACGCCTGCTAGGAACGGGTCACGTGATCTGCTAAAATCCAGCAGATTTTTAATGGACCATTTGCATTATAGACTAAATTCTGATCTAAACAAGTCTAGACAAAAATTTCATCACAGCTTGAAAGAGCATCCCAAAATTAGTAATATCCCAAAGCTTCGTTGCGAAATGTTGTAAAATGCGGATAATATAGCCTTGTGAAATTTGCAATTTTCAGTCATTTTGTATTACAAACAGGAAATTGATGCCCCAACACCCGATTGGGCTGTCAATTTCCCGTGCGCAATACAAAATGACTGAAAAACGGCAAACTTCGCAAGGCTATATTATCCGCATTTTACAACATTTCGCAACGAAACTTTGGAATATTACTAATTTTGTGATGCTCTTTCAAGCTGTGATGAAATTTTTGTCAGATCAAAATTTAGTCTATAATGCAAATGGTCCATTGGCGATGTTGATAAATATTTGATATTTATACTTTAATTTATAACTTGCATTTTGTTTTGCAAGTTTCATTTGATTTTAAAGGAATCCAAGATAGTTAATTCGAAATCTGCTAGATTTCAGCAGATCACGTGACCAGCTACTACCAGGGTCGTTTCTCCACAAGAGGTAAGAGCCTGGGAACGAGGTTGATTTGTTCAGTGTTGAAGTTTCAAATATTGAAATAGTAACCGCGCCTAAATGTCAAAAACAACTATTGCTATCAATATTTTTGCGTGCGGTGCTATTATGGTGGTATTATAGGAAGTATTACGCTCCCATCGTTAGTTTATAAAACTATTCGTGACAAATGTCCGAAGTAGGTTGAAGAAGGTCATTGAAATATGACAATTGTTTAATAAGACATATACTTAAACACACGGTATAAGACTTGAATTATTTGACAGTTTTGTTGATTAACACTTGGTTGCCTACGACATAATATCGTCAGAGCTATTAAAAGATGAGTAAAAATACCCACACCGTCCTATATTGAAGGAACATCTGCCGATAAACCCACATGACTATTCGTGTGTGCGTAAATATTAAACAAAACTCCCTAAACGACGGTGCAAATTGTTCTTTTTATCCAACTTTATTAATTTCATTTCATTCCATTCCATTTGTTTCCTGCATGTTAATTGCAGACGCCTTTAGGCATTAATAACTTCAAGCATCATCCATATTCATAATGTTTCCCTTGATTGACTTATATATGTTCACATCTCTCACATTGTACAATAAAATAAAAAATTCTGTACTGTCAAAATAAAATTCTGTATTGCAAAAAAAATTAAAGAAAACGAAACCAAGTCCACGAAGCATTATTATTATCACATTATTAGTAAGTTGCCATGACAACTGACTAAAGGCTACGAAAATTAATTTGGAAGACAAAACATTTCAATGTTTGTACATCTCATCATTTAAATATATGTACAACCCAATTCCCCCGGACAAGGTCTACAAGAACGTAAAAAATAGGAAATTTGACAATTTCAAACTACAATATATACATGTATATATATAAAATAAGCGCAACGACTCAATAAATTCCACTAGGTATCTTTATAACTATTAGTTTCGTACCACAAGATGTGGCACTCATCAGATAAATTAGCCTATTAATTGCCACATCTTGTGGTACGAAAGTAATAGTAATAAATAAAAATACCTAGTTGAATATATTGAGTCGTTGCACTTATTTAATTACGCTCTGAATATCCATTGAGCACTCCGCCAAATATATATTTATATATATATGAAAATAAGATTTAGGAATCATGCCTGGTATATATATATATATATATATGAAGATAATTTTTAGGCTTCTTCAGTGAGAATGTTTTAACTAGATCACGTCCGTTGAATATATTTAATAATTTAAATAATTATTAACAAAAGGATGGAATATGGACAATTTTAGCTCGTAATTGAAAAACAAACAATTACAATCCAGAGAACACTGTATAATTTGTAAAAATTACAATTTTATATATATATATATATATATAGCTTAAGATTTTGGTTTACGAAACACAAACAGTGCTCAATACCATATAGATAGAGCGTAATATAGTTTTTCGTTTTTTTTAGAAACTGTGATGAAAATACTCCGAAGTGAGAGAATACGGAAGAGCCCAGAACTGCCCTCGCCGTCTGAGGTAAAAGTTCCAAGCAAAGAGTCGACAACCATCTCCCAGTCAACAACATCTCCGGAGGAGACGTGAAATTGATGCGATCTTGGAAAGTAAGGTGGGTCCGACCGAATGTTCCAATTCCACTTTTACTATCAAGTATGAAGATGAATACAAAGTATGGAACAACTTTTCAATGATGTATCAAAGTCGCGTTTTTGTTCGCGATGACACACGTTGTGGTAGTTTCCTCGCTGTATGTACGTGTAGGTCAAGTGTTGAAGATACCATGTGACAGGATAGAAATAACAGAGAGGTTTATTATGTATAGCATACTTATGAACGCTGCTGTTAATATCTATCACTTAAGAAAAACCTTTTGTGGCAACACTCTTGTGAAATCTGATGAAAACAAGTGGAAAACGTTCTTGAAGTATAGTCTCTTTAGCTGGGGTGTTCCTCTCATCATAACTATTGTTTACATTGTACTTGTGAAGAAAGATGTTTTAAGATTTCATCTAGATATTACTACAAGTTGTGTCATGGGTAATGAACTTCCTCTTTGGTTAGCTGATATGGAAAAATATGGTCTTACGGGTTCTCTTTTGTTGTATATTATTGGAATGTTCATCTTCACTGCTTATCGAATTCGTCAAAAACTCAAAGCAAGCAGTAGCTTGCACAGAAATCAAATATTGTTAAGAAACGCAATAGCTTTGTCCTATTGCTTAAGTTGTCAACCACTAGTGCCATTAGCTTACTTCCTCTTTTGTTTTTAAACCTCATAGTAAAATTAGATGTTAATATCAAAACAATGATAAATACTGTGACGTTTCTTAGTGGTGTCTACATAGGTGTTGCGTTTGTCTTCACCAAAAAAAATTACAGGTTGTTTAAGAAGAAATATTTCCCAGCAAAAAAGAAACCAGTTAACGTGTAGTTGAAAAAGTAGGTAAGTAAGCAAGCGAGTAAGTAAATAAATAAATAAGTAAAAAAATAAGTATATAAATAAGTAAATAAATAAGTAAATTAGTAAGTAAGCATGCCGGTATTCATCAGAAGAAAAAACATGAGTGTATACAGAATAAGTAATTAATATAAACAGTAATCAATGAACATTTATAAACATCTGATTAATTTAAAATCTGTAATCATGTGCTAACTTGTAGAAATTTTAACGTCATATTCTATCCAAATGTGAAAAAGCTCAGAATATAATGTTATCAATTTAAAATGCATGTATACAGAATGTGTCCCCTCTCCCTTGTTTCCATCCTTTTCTTCCCTTTCCCCTCCTCATTCCGCCTCCCTCCTCCTTCCTGTCCATTCTCCCTTTCCCCTGATTTCTTTTCTTCCTTACTTTTTCCCTAAATCCACCCCTCTCACTCTGTTCCTTCCATCCTTCCTCCCTTCTTCTCTCGTGTTTGTTTCCCATTCCCTCACCTCCTTCCCATTCCCCCCCCCCCCATTTTCCGAACAACCGGACGCCATTTTGTTTAGTCGGTGCTTCCACATCCAAAGATAAATTTCCCTAATATTGCCTCAAATTTCAATTTTCCACAAACTTTTTCCTATAAGTGGAAACACTTACAAGCATGATCCAATAAAAAAAATTTAGGGTCGGGATTTCGACGTCCAAAAGCTAGGTAGGGTCGGGAAACCGGAAACCCACATATTTTTTTTTTGGCCTCATCGTCCAAAACTAATGCTTCCAGTAATGTATTTCTTTCCTTCACTTACTTTTGCAATAACATACTGTACGCAGTTAAAAATCAACGTCGCTTTCCCATCAGCAGTCAAAGAATTAAAATCTTGTTCTTGTAGTTTCTTCAGAAATTGAATTTCCTTTGAGAACATCGACTATATAAAAATACACAATGAAAAGTATTGAAAACTAAACTAAATACATACGTATTACTATACGTCCGGTATCGTTCTATACCGCTGGGAATATGCCAGCAATATTCACGATCTGAAGTTTGAACAATTTTATCCAATGCATCCTTGCCGTCCATCGCTAATTTTGTTCCAACCTCAACTGCATTGTCGATCTACATATGAAACGTGAGTGAATTATTTATACTGGATAGTTGAATCAGTATTAAACTGTTCTTCTTAGAGGTTCAGTAAGGATCATCTCGTATTGATCTAGTGTTACTACAGGAGGAAACCTAAACTAAACTAACTCTATTTATACTAAATAGCTCTATCAGTTCTAAACTGTTCTTCCTAGAGGTCCAGTAAGGATCACCTCTTATTGATCCAGTGTTACTACAGGAGGAAACCTAAACTAAACTAACTTTATTTATACTGGATAGCTCTATCAGTTCTAAACTGTTCTCCCTAAAGGTCCAGCAAAGGTTATCTGTTATTGATCCAGTGTTACCACAGGAGGAAACCTTTAAACCCATTTAATATATTTATATTGGATAGCTGATCAGTTCTAAACTGTTCTGCTCAGAGGTTTGGCAAAAGCCCCCATTATTGGTGGTATTTGGTAGAGTTAAACTCACTCTTTTCATAGGTTATACTTTCTATGCGGAAAATCATGCCATTTCCTACCTCAGGGACTAAAAATCTGGCCAGATCTTTCTGTTCGTCTAGCGTTAAACAAGACAAACTTTCCAGAAGAATTCCAGCACATTGCCGTAACTTGTCCTCAAACGCTAGCAATCTGAAATTCATTCAAATAATAAGAGACACATAAGGGTCACTTTCTACAGAGCAACTTGTTTTGTGTTTAAATGACGCCATTTTGCAGTATGATGCCTTTACTATTACAGCAGATAAGCAGATAAATATATGCAAAAAGTATAAAAGATGGAATATTTTCTTCAGACCTGGATTTAAGACTTTTGATAATCTCATGCCTTTCATCTCTAGTCATTTCGTTCTTGTATTTTGTAAACATTTCACAAAATAATGCAAACCTCGCCAGTGCTATATAAAGAGAGAGTAATGGACACCTTGATTTTCAGTTCCAATGAGACCAGGTGTGTGTGTGGGGGGGGGGGGTGTATTGTATTTGCCAAGAAAAGTTAAAATAAAGCGGGGGGCGCGGTGGATGGGGGTGGCAGGTCAAATTTGATTAGACAAACAATATAAAAATCGCCGACAAAATCCTTCATTTTGCTGGCAAGATGTTTTCAGTCAGGGGGTGTCATCGAGCAATCTGTTTGAAAGCTTCAAGAATGTTTCTCGCATCACAGAGTCCATTGCCATGAGGAGATTTAAAAGTATCTTTATTTTTCATGTCATTCAAAACATCATAAGCTTCATCAATCACGCCATATATACAGTTCAGAAGGTTGTTTATTTCTAGAAAGATGCACAAGTCAAACATTGAATAAGAGAGCTTAACGAGTACTCATTTGACTCGTCACTTGTGCGTATTTGAAATCTTACTTCTTTTCAAAGCAGTCGACTCCAAATACTGGGCACAAATTTCATGCAATTTCTTCATTTTCTTGTTGTTTTTCAAGAGCGTGCAAATCCTTTCCACAGTTTCTTCCTGCACATCAGATGGCAAACACCCGGCGTAGAAGTAATGTAGAGTCACTTCGACAGCATCTGCAGGTACAGCACACTAGTATTTTGATAAATTAAATTAGCAAACAAATGATGGAATTCCTAATGTACTTCCCTTGAGTTGCATTTCACTTAAATGCATCCTAGTCCTACTTTATTATTTTACTTTGTCTAAAACCAGACAATTTTACTCTTCCAGGGGAGAGGGTTGGTGAGTTCAGACTTCAAAGGGTCAACATATTGTATCTACCTTTTTACACTTGAGTATGAGCATGGGTGAATATTGATAACGAATGGTCATAGTTGTCTTGTCTCTTGAAAGAGTCAGCTATAAAATAATTATTAATGAAATGACTGAATTAATAAAAGCCTGGATGAAATAAACCATTGAAGTGATGAAATATAAAAGTTAACCCACCAGGCACATGACGTTGTTTCAATGTTGAATTTGGTAAAAATTTAACTTTGAAACATGTCGGGATGTCGCAACCTTTGAATGTCAACATTGTCCAACAAATATTGGTTCAACAGCAGCTAATATACAGATGTCGATTCAACATTCATTCATGGTTCATTATACCACGTCAATTACTTAATTGTCAAGTAATTTCAATTACATTGTTTTAATGCAGATTCAATGTTGAAATATGGTTAATGAGATTGGCAATCTAATCTCAACATTGTTTAAAATGGCATTTTCAATCTTTTCTCAGCATCGAGGATCTATCCAATATATGTCTGAAGGTGATATTTCAACATTGCATCAACATCATTTTGCCCACTGGAAAATAGATGGTAACTTTGTACTTACAAGAAACGGTACAAGTTCACCAGTTTCAGAACCGAGAAGGTTCAGTTTCAATGCCAGACTATCTTGGTCACAATCTTTGTACTGAAATTAAAATGACAAAATCAATGAACTTACCAATCATTTTGTTGAGGGGAATTTTGCAGATGGACTAGTGATTTCAAGTGTGAATTAATTTTATACATTTATTGTACCTTAAAGTCTCTCCGGCAGGTCTCTAACCTGCAGCCCTGCGATTCCAGTGCAGTGCTCTAACCAACTGAGCTAGTCAGATTCAATAGACCTTTCTCCTTTTCAGTGAAATTTTGATCTCAACAAGTCTAGACAAAAATTTCATCACAGCTTGAAAGAGCATCACAAAATTAGTAATATTCCGAAGTTTCGTTGCAAAATGTTGTAAAATGCGGATAATATAGCCTTGCGAAGTTTGCCGTTTTTCAGTCATTTTGTATTACAAATGGGAAATTGATAATCAGTTTGATCATCTGATTATCAATTTCCCGTTTGTAATACAAAATGACTGAAAAACGGGAAATTTCGCAAGGCTATATTATCCGCATTTTACAACATTTCGCAACAAAACTTTGGAATATTACTAATTTGTGATGCTCTATCAAGCTGTGATGAAATATTTGTCCAGGCATATCTAGATCAAAATTTCACTCATAAGGGGAAAGGTCTATCGAGGGCCTATAGTTGCATTTTTCGCAACTGCTCCTCAGGTTATAGGTCGACTAATAAATGTATAAAAATTCCACATTCTACAAAACACCCAAAATCCTGATACTCAATCATTAATAGCCAGTCACGTACGACAGGAGCAAAGGATTTGCATGATTTATGATAACACAGCAATGTGATATTACCTTACAATCTGGACAATTTGCTAATTCATAACTGTCACATGTCAGGAATGGTAAATAATCAGATGGTGTTTGATGAAGCTTCCATCTTATGTCTCCAGCTTCATCCAATGCAAACTCAGAACTTAAAAATAAAATGCACAAATGGAAATTTTAGGTAAGCAGTCTGGCTAAAGCAGTTATGAATCTCATGCTATTAGGAGCAAGTTCTGCAAAATATGAGAATTCTATAAAAGTGGCATTCAGAGACTTTTCTAGGAGCATAATTTCCCATAGTTACCCTGATAAATATAGACCAGTGGTCAAGCTCAGTAACATTTCATAACACCTCCCCCCCTTCCCACCCCCAATCACCTGCTCATCTTTGTTTAACCACTGGTCTACACTGATCTGTATATAACACTGAAGTGCTTTATATAGCTAAGCAAGATTTTCCTTATAGTACTAACACCTATTGATGTGTATAAATTACTGTCGCATCTAAGAGTGAACAGTCGCATATGGAACATTGTCTTAAACATGGAACATTGTCTTTCTCACTCTCTGCTTTCTCACTGTAAAGCCAATTTGAAAGTTTTAATCGTTATTTATTTGCCTTTGTGGAAAGCACAAGAACAACGGCTCTAACTCCCGTAACAAACTAATTATTCACTTCCATTCCTTGAGACAGGGGAAATAGTACCACAATAGTCTCTAACTACATTTAAATTTAATCTAATGAAATATTACGTAGAATCATGGATAATAAAATACATGGATAGGAAACTAGCGGACGTGACCTAATGTTTTCAATGGACCTCAATGGGATGATGGCGTTGAAACCTAGTTGCAAACCAAATTCTCAAAAACGGCATGTTTAGCGATAATACAGCTAAACATTTTAGTCAAAGAGCAAATAAATATAACTAGGCCATTTTACGATAAAATCTCTAAGTATTCCCGGTCAATTTTAGCAAATATTTCAAGCACTAAACAGTGAAAAATGCATCGCAAATTTCGTTGAAATTGGCGACGCCAATTTCGTAGCTACAAATGTAAAAAAATACAAAACAAAGACGAAAAACATTTACCTTGAATACTTTGTCGTGGCTTAGGCATGTTTTCAAAACAATTAGACCAGTTTATGCTTCAATATTATTCTTTTAAAGCGGAAAATATAGCGAAACAAAAATGCCGAGGACTTTGGCAATACAGGTTTAGACTGTGACGTCAGGAAGTTCCCTTATCCAGTTTTTACATCCATGGTAGAATCAACCCAACAAATTTATGACCCTGAAGATCCAAGAACATTTTTAAAAAGTCTGTTTGTATTAAATGCACACCACTCCCCACTAATGAACTTATCAACTCGAACATGTTGCTAAATTTAGTTTTTGTTCGTCAATACGTTTGCTTTGTCTTCTTGTATTTGTGTTTAATTAGGTTTGCTTTAATTTTAAAATAATTAGATATACCATAAGTTGTTCTTTTTTGACATATACAGTCATGACATATACAGTCATGACATATACATGTACAGTCATGATATATACAGTCATGATATAGCAGTATTGTTACAATCTTGTGTCGTCAACCTTGAAACATTCTTGTTAATCATGACTGCATGATTAGACGTGTTAGAACAACCTTGTAACAAGTCTGATAATGCCATCAAGCTTGTTACAAGTTGTTAACAGCTTGTTCCAAACTTGTTACAACAACTGGGAACAAGCAGTGCGAACACTTGTCGACAGCTTGTGGAAGAGATTTGTGACAACTTGTTTGCAGACTTGTAACAACTTGTGCGTTTTTACGTGTGTAAATCGACTTCAGAAACGTTGATACTGATAGAAGCAAGTCAATAATACACTATCTTTCAACTTATTTGCTACAACTACAGCATATAATGAAAGAAATTAACTTTATTTTCACTGCAATAACTGATCTTGTTCTCTGGTCACGTGTGTTTGGACATCCCAACACGTGCACGCAGCTGCGCAACAGACTTGTTACAAGTTGTTTTGTTAACAAGTTGTGAGTGGCAACCTTGTAGCAACTTGATAACAACTGTCAACAAGATGTGTTCCGCGCAACAGGCTTGTAGCAAGCTTGTCAGCAAGTTGTAACAATGTTGTTATTTTATCAAGTTGCTATAAGCAACTTGTTGACAAATTGTTGAATTGCAGGACGATAACAAGTTGTTGGCAGGTTTGTTACAACTTAAGCGTTTCTACGTGTGTACCAAATGCCCAACTCAACATCAGAGCGTGCTAACACCCGTTATAATTAGGTCCATGAAATACGTTGCATAATTCTTACAGTCTGTCGCTGCAATATATTCTCCGACCAGGTCAACCGTCCATAATCTGGGATTGTCAGGATGATATAGACACTTGTCGCCAGGGCAACCAGGTAGTGACGTATTAGTACCAGCGTTCACGGAGACACTGTCACGTGATGTCTTGGTACCAGACTTAGGACTGCTTCTTTAGCTCAGCTTTCGGTGACGTCACGTAAGATGACGTCATTACCGCTGGCGTTGTGCCAACCTGACCAGAATTAAGTTCTGACGATCTTCTCGGCCAACATTCAGACTAAATTTCTGCACCGTGCTTTGAGAACCAATATTCGCGTTCTTATCATACTTTACCGTACTGCTGTTTATCCTATTCGCGCTTTGATAAGTATGGGTGTTTTGACTAGGCACGTTCGTGTTTTGACTAGGCACATTCGTGTTTTGACTAGGCACATTCGTGTTTTGATAAGAGCTACTCGTGTTCTGATTTGGTCTTCGCGTGTTCTGATTAGTTATATTCGTGTTCTGATGAGAGTTATTCGTGTTCTGGTGAGAGTTATTCGTGTTCTGATGAGAGTTATTCGTGTTCTGATGAGAGTTATTCGTGTTCTGATGAGAGTTATTCGTGTTCTGATGAGAGTTATTCGTGTTCTGATGAGAGTTATTCGTGTTCTGATGAGAGTTATTCGTGTTCTGACGAGACCTTTCGTTCTGCACGGACGGATGAACGTGAGCAACTTGTGGTGTCTGTGTACGGCTACCGTTGGCTACGACAGTTGTAGAGATGCCATTTTCACTTCCTCTTACTACACTGAACATTTTATTCATCATATTGGTCCTGCTGGGATTATCTATTGAAAATAGAAGCAGTAATAGAGAGGTTAAGATATCCCGATTCCGGCTTACGGGTACGGGTGATATACACGTACCCGTACCCGTAAATCGAGGAATAACTTGTAACTTAAGAAATCCAAGATACTCCGGCGTGAGAAAACCGATCAGCGAATGGCAACTTTCGCTGTTGAGGTTCGCCATATTGTTGAATACTTTGACCAGCATATGTGCATTATTTATTTGGGTAAGATGTTGAAAATTTGTACTATTTAAACAGCCTAAAAATAGTAAACAGAAAACACCCGTACCCGTTTGTCGTTTACGTGTAGACTATGGTTTACCGCGGGGATACGGGTAGAAATTACGGGTAAAATTGCTGACATCAGCAAAAAATGGTAAACAAAATGGCGATACTCGTACCCGTAAACCGGAACCGGGGTCTCTTAACCTCTGTAATGTCAAACCTGGTTACACTATCAAAGTTTCTGTGATCACAGTAGGAATTTCACATTGGTAAATTCTAAGGATTTGTAAGAAATGTTTGAGGGAACTTGACTTACGCCCGTATTCTAAAAGCTATTCGCACTCAAAGAGTGGAGGTTCAATCTGAGCTTCTCTTGAGTGTCAATGCTGCTGAAACTAAACTATCTTTATTTATACTGGACAGCTCTATGAGTTTCAGTGGCGTAGCCAGTCCGACGATTCAGTCCCGCTATGCAAATATTGCCTTGTTTATAACTAGCAACACAATCAATTTCTAAAGAAATGAATATGAGTTGAAATTTGCATAGCAGGAACAAATCGTCGGGCTGACTACGCCATTGATGAGTTTTGAAAAAAGGACTTAAATTAAACTAACTTTATTTATATTTCATTTCAAACTTACGGTCGGCTTTACAGTCGTCGGGGCATGGACCCGCGACTGACGTCAGACTCAAGAAATATTCGCAACACACGAGACGACGACAGAAACGTTTTAGATATCGTTCAAGTTTCGGACGAGAATCTACTCTTGAAATTGCCTGGAAATGAGAGAACAAAACATAAGATATTAATACTAACCCAGACAGTAATCCTAAACATGATCCTAATCATAGAATACAGCGTTTGCACATGACGTCACAGCCGCCATGTTGGTGTTCCAATTCAAAGGAATTTTAATTAGACTCTCTTGTCTGGAACACAAACATGGCCGCCATGGCATTTGTCGAGTTGGTACCTGGGATTTTGGCGTAACCTTTGCAATGCAATTCACCCCCCTGAAAATATTCAAAATGGTGGATGTTCGGGGGGATGAACGCC